TATATGTGGGAAAATACTGTAACTTATGGTAAACTACATATTGGATAGTATTACTTTTATAAATATGTTTCTCAGCTGTAAATAGCCAGTCTACTTTAATAATTATACAATACACATTTAAAGTGAAATATCAAATTTATGTTTTTGCTTTCTTTCTAAAAAAATAATAAAACTTTAATACCTGAAGGGTGAAATACTTTTTCAGTTTGGTCCTCAAAATAATGGGAATATTCCAGGGTGTATGGGTATAAGATGATTTATGGAAAAGCAGGAAAGCAAAATCCCATTTTTGAGAATCTGCTGTGTTTCAGTCACTACTCCTCTTCCACACATTTTTCTTCCGGTCATCATAAATTCACGGTCAGACCTGCCCCCTGCCTAGCATGCTCCCCTTTGTCTGGCTAACACTAGTTCTTCAAGGTTCAACTCAGTAGCCCCGTCCTCTGAAAAACTTTTCTGGACTTCTCGTTGCCCCCTATCTGCATGAGCTGCATCTTTATTGTGCTACCAGATTGCTTTCAGCTGACTTCTTAAAGGATAGCCACACTCTTTATGTTTCCTTTCTTTCCTGCTAGACTTTGGAGTCACCATAATAAACAGCTATGTGTGTAATCACTGTATTAACAGAACCCAATATGTTGTAGCTCTGGTGAAAATGTGCAGAATGATAAATGAGAATAGGATGAATTGGATAGTGTGAAATCTCAGTAGCTTCTCCAGGAATAAAGATTCTTGCAGGAGTTTCAATGTACACATTACCATAAAAAACATGCAGAACGTTATCATAGTTTACTTACATCATAACCAATTTTTTCTATTTTGAAAACTGGGAAAGAAGAAAAGTATTGAGCCTCATTCTACAGTAGTTATGTTCACCTAAAGTCTAAGTATTTAATACTTTATCAGGAAAAAAAATGACACCCACAAAGAAATTTCTACTTCAAAATGGAATGTTGTTTGAAGCAATATTCTAACATGTAACTTGAATTTAATTCTAGGGCTTCTTTTTATTTATGTGTTCAAAACCTTATACTTATCACGTAAAGATGAAGCAATGTGATATATATCATAAGTCATGTTTTAGATATAAGTACATATGTAATCACAGGTAAAATAATTGTTTATAGTCAATTATATAGTCCACTTGAGAAAAATTACAATTATTGCAAAGATGAGAGGAACAAAGTAAACGATTTACAAGGAAATATATAAATAGAGTACTTGGTTCAATTGTGAAAAAGAGACATGTCTGCCAACCTTTCTGAGATACATGTCTTTTAACCTCAGTGTAATATTTGACAGTGTTACCTATCACTTTCTTGAAGTTAGCATCTTTCTTCACTTGAGTTTACTAAAAACTACTGGTTTTCTTCCCACTTTTTTTTATTTTTTAAAGATGCTGTTTAGTATGCTTTTCCTTCTTGTCTAAATGGAGCTATTTTTTAAGAATCCGCCCTCTGCTCTTTTTTTTTTTTTTTAAGATTATATTGGGGAATTGGAGGAGGGGAACAGCATTGGGGAATCAGGGAAGGGGAACAGACAAGTTGCTGTCCTTTTGTTCTTCAGTCTAGTTGTGAAGGATGTCACTTCACTGGCCCATGTTGGTATCATTGAGCTTTTCCCAGGCGAGGCAGCCGCTCGCCTGCCATTGGGCAGTCGCTCAAAGCAGCCCACGGCAGCCCACGAAAACTCACGCCCACTGCTGGCCAGCNCTCCATAAGCATCTATATTTTGTATTTTTCTATGTAGTAAACTTAGTAATTAATAAAAATGCATTTAGTGTATACATATATATATATATATATATAAATTATAATACATTATATTATGTATAGTGTACATTCCTTTCTAATTGTTTCATTATCTGTCTTTATCAATATTTCAAAGACAAAACCATACCCATATGATACTTAACCTTAAGGTGAATATGAATAGTCATTGCTTTCACAATCATAACCCTTACAGAAAGAGTTAATGCTATGTCTGGAAAATATCTTCAGCTAGTAAAAGTCATATAAGGCAGTGATATACTATTCATTGAATTCTTATATAATTTAAGGAATCTTGTTTTATTTATCTCAAGATTGCTACTGGACTAGAAACATTATAATATTTAATGGTGTAGCTATTGAGGAAAGATGCAGATAATAGTTTTGGACCTAGAAATATAATACTTCTTAATTCATGAATACATTGATACGAAAATCTTTGGGATTCTTTTTGATAAAGAATGCAAAAAAAATTGGGAAACACCGATGGTTTAAACCCACTTTTATTTTTTAAAAGTTTTTCCCAAATGGTTTTTAAACCAATTTTTTCTAATAATTTTATTTGTATTTAACGATGATATAATGGCAATGACCTTTATTATCCAAAATGAACATTCTTGAAAATTCATTTTTACTTGTGTTGATTAATTTTGCTTTTATCATTTCCACTTTTGATTTTACACATCTCTGCCTTTTTCTATCTTCTCTTTCAATAAACAAAATTTAAATTTATATGCATAGAGAAATATAAAACTTCTGGTGTTACTATAGTGCAAAGTCAAAGGAATTAGGTTCACCTTGTAATCTATTCAAAATGCGAATCAGTTATGCAACCAAGAGACCAAGTAAAGCAATAACATGTTTAAAATTATTACAAAATAGCAGTAATTATTAGAATTAACTGAATATGGATGGAAATTTAAGCAAAACATGAATTTGAAATAGTCAATGAGACTCTCAGGGCAAGACCCTTTTTCTCTTAGATTGACTTTGCCTTGAGACCTTAGTAGTGTGTTGGTTATCACTGCTTGTATGTTTATCAAGCAGTATGTTAAATCAGGAGAATGAAGTGTTTTATGTGACATAATCAATTAAATAGACAATGCCTTTTATCCTCTTACCTAAATAAACTTCAAATGTATGAAAGTAATGAGCATGCTACTTTGAAATAATCATTATGTTTATTTCCTCAACACATTTACCTCTTAACAAGAGCTGCGTACCATTGTGGTGTCATATGCTATAAGTAACAAGAAATAACAACTGTAAAAATAATTTGTCCCCAAACTCACATCAAATAATTATACTTTTATAATTGACAAGAATTTCCAATGGAATACAAACTGTATTCCTGGTATGTTAAAATTTTCCTAACTTATTTATTTTAGGACATGCCCTGATGGGAACTCTTAACACACACCTGCATTTGATTTTTAGAATCCGTTTGACAAAACGGCACAGTGATGCAGCTATTTGTGTCTGTTTTTGTTTTTAAAAATCTCAGACCCTGAATGAAAATATGCTAAGATTTGGCTCAATGAAGTAATGGTTTTTAAAACCACAGCACAGATTAAAATTGATTTTCTGTAGATAATATGAATGTATCTCTCCAGGGGCTAGTCAACATAAGGGCTGGAGCTTTTAGTATTTCACATAGAGGATCAAATCGGTTTCTTTCTTAAGACTTTTATATAAAGTTATTATATAAAGAAGCCACAATTCACTTCAGAGCTGCTTAAGAAGGAAATTAAGAAGGAAATTGGTATTGGATGATCATACGCACAAAAAGCAAATGAATCCATAATGCATACTAATGTTTTATAGACAGCATTTTACTGAAGTTAAATTGACTTTTGTCTCTTTTAGATCAGCAGATAAGAATTATGATGGCTTACAGATTTCATAACAGTCATTATTAAGCAACATTTTTTATATCGCTAAAGAAATGGGAAGCTGAAGTAAGAAATAAAGCATACATCTCTGATAATATTCTAGAATAATAGTGATTTTTATCTCTAAATAATTTAAGTCATGCAACTGGAAAGTGATCCAGTATGAAAAGCAATTTGAAATTCAACTTCGCAGAAGACGAAGCAACATATGAATGCAATATTATTTTGTATGACCCTTCACCTGTGTACTTTACAGAACAAATACTAATTAAATTGTAACAATTAGGAGATACATGTTAGCCTTTATTTCTTACATGATAATATATAATGTAAGAAAAGGCACAACATAAATCAATAAGGAAAGAATTCTGTATTATTATTATTACTATTATTATTAATCTAACATTATGTTTCCCATGTGATCATTTGTGTGTTATGAGAGAGTAGCTTATAGTCTTTAGCTTGCAAAAGAATTAGCCAATAGTTTATTAAAAAGGCAAATTCTCCTTCTCCTACCCAAGGATCCGACTAGACAAGTTTTGGTATAGTTCCCAGGAATTTGCATGTCTGAGCACCACCTCAGTTGATTTGGCACAGGTGGCCCATGGATAACACTAAGGAGCAGAGAAAACTGCCTTAGTCAGCAGTTCAGAAAACTCTGGGGAGAAAGACACCAAACAATTTAAGCCTGTGAATGCTTTTTGCTCAATCACATGAGAAATGTGATTATTAAAAATGAAATTATTTTTTAATCCTAAAACAGATAGAGAAGTATGTATAGGTGATTCTTGAAACCTCTCAATGTACTCTGTAAAGTTCTACTGTAGTAGTTAAGTGTTTTACGTTTAACCCAAGTTAAGAGATAAGAGATTATATAGGCTAAATCCTAAAAAAAAAAAAAAAATTGATTAATTGTTGTTAAGTGAAAAATTACTATGAAATTTATTAGTTTTTTAATAAGTATATGATGGGAATACTAATTTTGAATGCACCAAGCTAAAAAATTGTTATATTTGGGACATATACAAATTTTTCACACAAAAAAATGTATATATTCCCAAGACCATCTTTAATATTAAATATTTATTTTCTGTTTCTTTTTTATGGTGAGGAAAGCGAATTGTTTATTGTTAAGGATTTTTCATGTATATTTTTTTATTTCAAATAGTATTTTTTGCAGTCTTCATTAAAAATCAGTTTTGTTGATTTAAAAAACAGTGATGCACCTTCTTCGTATATAAAAAACCAACTACAAATTCTCAAATTTTAATTTTGGTAAATGCACCAAAACAGATACATTATATTGTAGTTAATCTGTCCAATTCTATTTTATTTGCAGATCCAAGAATGGCTTTGTTTAAATTGCCAAACCCAGAGAGCGATATCAGGACAACTTGGAGACATGGGCAAAATGCCACCTACATCATCAGGACCAAAAGCCTCTCCGATGCCTGTCCCAACAGAACAACCAGCTCAGAAGGCAGCAATGCCTCCTCCAGTAAAAGTGAAAAAGAAGGAACAAGAAGTAAAAACAGAAGCTGACAAAATCATTCCAGAAAAAGTAAAAGAAACACCTTTAATTGAAAAAATGCCCCCCAAGGCAACCACAGATCAAAAACAAGAAGAGAGTAAACAAGCGAAAGACAAAGCTTTAGCCCCTCAAGAAAAAAAGCCACCCCCTGAAGACACAAAAACATTTTCAGAAGAAAAAAAGCCAACCAGTAAAGAAATAAAGCCAGTTCCTGAAGAAAAAAAGGCAGTTCCTGAAGAAAAAAAGCCTGCTTCTGAAGAAAAAAAGCCACTTCCTGAAGAAAAAAAGCTACCTCTTGAAAAAAAGTCAACTCCTAAAGACAAAAAACCAACCCCTGAAGACAAAAAATTACCCCCAGGAGCAAAACCATCAGCTCCAGAGGAGGAACTTAAAACTCAAGTACAAATTGCTGAAGAAAAGCCTGAAGGCAGAGAGGCTCCACAGGCCGAGCAAGAAAAGAAGCAACCACAGACCCAGGTGGAAGATAAACCATCTGGGACCCCTCCGAGTTTGCCTGAGGAAGATGATAGGACAACTCAAAAAGGAAAAGATCAGCCACAGGCAGCAGTATGCACAGCAAAGCCCGATCAGGTGGAACCTGGGAAAGAGAAAATAGTAAGTTATGTTTTCCTAACTTTGCACAGTCTAATGTATGTCATTTACTAATTTTTACCTATGTGCAGGAAGTGCTTAATGGTAATTATATAACTGAAATCCTTTAATTAGTGGCATTTAAAAAAAACAAACACCACAATTAAGGGTGACCAGTTAGCTCAGTTTATTAGAGTGTGGTGCTGATAACACCAAGGTTGCTAGTTTGATCCCCACATAGGCCACTGTGAGCTGTGCCCTCCTTAAAAGAGTCAACTATGCGATTGTAGCATGAAAGCAATATGTAACCAATGACCATGGCTATCCCCCAACAAAATTAAAAACCAAAAAAAAAGAAAACGAAGTAATGATTGTTTGCTAAAATGAAGAACTTTGGTTTCTTGACAGCTTAATCTAATTTAAATAAAACATTGATATAAAATTTATTTTTCTAGCTCTATGCTGATCAAATAATTCATCAAAATCCTATGGAATGATAAAGAAGAGTTTCTTATAATTTTAAAATATTTTTTTTCTCCACTATGAACATAAAATCAGTATCCCCCTTTACCATAAAATAATTGGTGTCTTTAAATATCTATTCTCTTATCCACTTGGTTAAATAAGAGTCAAGTTTTGTGGGGGTTTTTTCTCATTTGAAAGCCTTTTAAGATTTGGTCAGCCATAAAATAATTATATAATTGTGATTGAAAAAAAATGTAGAAAAATTTAAGACATTTGTTTTAAAACGTTTGTTTTAGTATTTAGCATGATTTTAAATAATATATTTGGAGTTTTGTGCAATGTGTTTAATATCGAAGGGTTATTTTATAAGCCAAGCATATTCTGCAATAATATATATCTTTTTCTTTTTCTTTAGTAAAACTTTTTTAAGAGTGTTCCTTCTCAACCAATATTTGCACAGGCAATAATATCATTTTTAGAGGAATTCTGGTTTTTCAGAGCTATTAGAGATCTGGTTGAATAATTTTAATTCACAAATGACAGCAATGACTTTCAGGAAAATGAAATGATTTATGAGAAAAGTTATCATTAGAACTCTAATTAGAACCTATAGTCCATCCAGACTCTGGTTTAGTTGCCTTTTTATTTACAGTTTTTAACACATGGTTTCTAACCCATCTCTGGTATATGATGCATAACTCATTAAATAAATCCTGACCTCCCTTTGTTATATTAATGAGTTTATCTGAGTCAGAGAAAGCAGATACCTATATAGTCTCCACGCTAATGGCTGGACCCAGCCACAACCACCGTCACCACCACCCATTGCTTCTCCTAGCTAACCACTTTTCAAAACTTGATGCTTTTTATGGCATTTCCCTTTGTGAAACTACCCTTGGCTTTCATGACCTTTCCCTTTTTGTTCTCTTTTTGTCTTTCTGTTTGCCCCTTATGAGTTCTACCTTGATTATCTCTATTGCTTTCACTTTCCCAGTCTCCATACAATAAGGTTTTCCTTGTTCTTCTTTGAGTTCTACCTTCTTTCCTCTTAGAGGAGCCACATGAACAACTCCTAAATTTACTTGTGTACCTTCTGCCTCTCCTTTGATTGTCAGACCTGCATTTTCAAATACTCAGTAGATCAGCGGTTCTCAACCTTCCTAATGCCGTGATCCCTTAATACAGTTCCTCATGTTGTGGTGACCCCCAACCATAAAATTATTTTCGTTGCTACTCTATAACTGTAATTTTGCTACTGTTATGANTTTTAGTGACCTTACTCTCTCTTCCTGCTACCCTCTATATAAAGACAGAGAGAAAACGAGAGAGAGCACAAGTGAGCACGAAAGAAAGAGAGCCAATGGCAAAAAGGAAAGAAAAAAGATATAATGGGGGAATGAACCCTAATTCTTATCCATGCAAATAAATATATATATAATATTTTGCATAAGTATGTATATTTATTTGCATGTATCTATTTCTAAAAGGAAAGTAAGCCTCTGCTTTTTTTCAAGTTCTGTCAAAATTGTGTTAATATAATAATTCAGAGGTATTAATTCATGTATGTATTATTTATGTAATGGTGTTTAAAACATCAAACACTCTGAGATTACTTTCTTAGTTTAGGGACATATGCATGAATTGTGATAAGAAAGGGACTAGAAAAATTATCCTGGTTTTAGTCCAAGAAAAATGGACCCAAAAATAATGTCAACTAGGAATATGCAATAATCTAAATATACTTTTAATCCATGGTACAATATAGACATTATTTTAGTTGGTATGTTGCTATTATGGAAATGTCTGTTAATGTAATTTACATTATATAAAAACTTACATTTAGAACTTCAACTGCGTGAAATAGTCTTCATGTGGGTATATAGGGGTGTCAGTGTCTTACAGAAATAAGCATACTCATAAAAGAAGAGATGAGGAGGGACAGAAACCACTGATCAATTTAGATCTAGGAATGACAACTCCAGTACAAGGTCCTAACAGTATCAATAGTCTATTAGGTTTTGTTATTGATCCCAACCCTTCACACTCAGTAATTCCTTGAAAATTAGTATTTAAATTATCTTTTTGCTTTTTCTTGGTTTTCATTTGAATATTTATGTTCTAATGCATTCTAACATAATTAATTCTTAAGTCTGCATATGAAGTAAATGATGATGAACCCCAATCATTCAATTATTTATTTTGGATATGAGTTATTCTTGTTTCAATGATTGTAAAAGGAGCAAAAATACTAAGGAAGCTATACATTCTACTCAAAAAGAGTATAATAAGAAAAGGACCTGACACGCCTCTCATTCGTTTTTAGGAGGGACAGAGTAAGAATAGAAGTATCACAAATATGTCATTGCAAACACTTGCAAAGTGGAGTCTAATGAATGATCACAGATTTCTAATATCCTTATCATGTAGTCTGAACAACTGGTTGTGTAACCTGAAAAAAGAGTATGTCAACTGAATTCAATCCTTTTCTGTTTTACAGATGACAAAGGATAATAAATTTAGATATTTAATAAGCAAAAAATCTGATTTTCAGGATGAGAAATTAAATGGTAATGTAAGAGTGCATGGGCCTTCAATAAATAGAATACCCTAATGCCACGACTATAGGTGACATTGATATAATTGACAAGTTGCCAGTAACATTGCCCTCCAATTTTTGGATCTGTCAATAAGTAAAATAGTGATTTCTAAGCAGATTATTGGTGTAATTGTTTCTCTGCTTAAAAATAACATTCTTAAGGATAAGCAAATAGAAAATTAAAAATTTATTTATTTTCTTTTTAATCAAAAGCTTGATAAGTACACAGGGAACTCAATGGAATTATTATAACAATCCCCTTGATTCCTTGGTTTTCCTTTAAAGAATTTTAAGTAGGGGCCATCTAGCTTGTGCTTAAATACTTCTATTGATAGAAACTATATGAGCTTCCCAGTCAGTCCAGTTGGTCTTTTAATGAACATTCATGTTAAAATGCTATTAAGATTTTTCAAACACAAATATGAATGCTTGTGTAGGTTTTGCAGCCATCACTTCCCCACCACTTTAAGTCTAATGGCAAACTTTCAACCTGCTGTAGTGCTTCTTATCACGCTTCAGAAAAGATACTTAAGAAAATAAATAGGCATGTCTGAAGCTCTGAGATTTTGCTTAATGGTATTGTTGCTATAGTTACAGTTGAAATGTTATATAAAGCAAATTGCTTATTGATAGAAAATGCTGAGTAGCACAGCAGCATCCTTTTTTTGGGGGTTTTTATTGCCTTCATTTCCTACTCTCCTCTTAAGATTAATGGATTTTTGGAGCATTGTTTCATTTGGAACAAGTCCTGATGATTTGATGTTAAAATAAGTGCATTTTCTGAACATGTACTAGCTGATAGTTGAATATGTTCTAGTATGTTGTGATAAAGTGGAGTTATTTTTTTATAAACTATTTATCAGAATTTTCCCTATTTGGTGATGAATTCTGATATCCTGGTTAGTAATGTTAAACATCGAATAAAAATGTGATTCATCTCATAGTATAGTCTTTAATTATGTATTTAATACATTTAATAATATAGATGAAATATAAACTTTTATTATGTCTTATACTATTAGGTGAAAAGATATTTATACTGAAAATAAAATGTACTTTAAAAAACAGAAAAACAAATGGAAATGTTTTGAAAGCACCCATAATTATAATTAGTATGTTTTGTTTTTAAAGATTTTATTGGAGAATTGGGGGAAGGGAACAGTGCTGGGGAATCGGGAGAAGGGGAACAGACAAGTTGCTGTGCTTTTGTTCTTCAGTCTAGTTGTGGAGGACGTTGCTTCACTGGCTCTTGTTGGTATTATCATTGTGCTCTTCCCAAGTGAGGCAAATCATCGCTGGCCTCTGGACAGCTGCTCATGGCAGCTCTTGGCAGCTCACACCAGCTGCCTGCCACTCACGCTGGCTGCCAGCCACACACGGTAGCTTATGGCAGCCCACTGGAGCAGAGGCTGCAGCCTACACTGTCACAGGCAACTCACAGCAGCCCAGCTCCAGGTTAAGCTGTTGTTCACCATCTTANGCGAAGTTTTTAATTAAAAACATCCAGTAAAGGGAATATATGTCTAGTGGTTCATAAGCTCACATCTAAGTTTGGCACAGATATGTTTTGTTGGGTCTCTAATATTTAAAAAAAAAATGAAGTTAACCAAGTATAGGTGAGTCAGGCACTCTCTGGTTTCTCACAGTTTCTACATCTAGCTGTGGTCTTACACATTATATTTATCATTACCATCAATACTTGCAAACAGAACCATAGCTTAGAATTGAGAAGATGCTTTGATTTTGAAAGATATAAATGAAATATTATATCCTATAATTATGAGTCTAAAATCATAGAGAATCAAAACTGCAGAGAAATTTAGAGGTCATCTTTCAAAATAGTCAATAGCAAACAATATATTGTTTAGGGATCCAAACATATAGGGTAAAAATATGCACTCAAATGTCATACTTATAGACACGGAAGTTAGGATAATAGTTGATTCAAAGGAGTGAGTTTGAA